ATGTATCCCAAGTGCCTAGAACAGTGCCTGGCACCTAATGAGCATGCATTCAATGTTTGAACAATAGGAGAAAATTTCTGCTGTTGGCCTCAGCTGATTTGTTGTTCATATCATCATTCGGTGGCCTTCTCTTACAGTATGCTGTAAATTGTATATGAAGCACTTATTTTGGGGAACAAATACTCAGAATGTTAAATATCTTGAATTATGTCAGTGGACTCTTGAAACACTAGGAGTGTTAGGAAGCTAGAAGTTGAATGTCATTTTTCAAAATAATTATATCCCCAAATCAACTGGGCCATTTAATCTAGCTTTAATTTTATACACACAAGAAAACTGACTTAACAACATAAAGGCACTAGTCCAAGGTCGTATTGCTAGGTTACATTGGATGAATAGACATTTCCATTTTCTTAACATCACAGGTTCAGAGCTGCTTCCCAGTGTTTTCTGATGCTTCCTGTCGAAGCCCATACTCACTAACACTGGTAATATTAGAGTTCTTCCTGAGAACATTCTGGATGGGGAAATGGTGGGGTTTGGGAGTAGTGGGAATATTTATTGAGCCTTTGCCCACAAAGATCTGGAATTTAAATGCATGGCATTGACTTCAAAGTAATACACATTTAAAAATAATTGTTTAAAGTTTATCTGTGAGGCCAGTAAGGTGATTTCCCCATCTTGTTATCCAGATACCATAACACAATGTTTTCCTCATGCATTTGTTAACTGGAATGAATCATTATATTGTAAAGTCTGTGAGGTAAGGGTCTATGAATTTCATGATTTCGCTAACCCTACCCAGTGCCTGGTCTATATAGCACATTGTCTTATATCTGTGATGCCCAGTGTCATCTGAAAGCTGAGCAATAGATAAGAAACATTTGTGTAATGAGGACATTGGTCCGTCTTGTTACTGGTAGACATGTAAAAGGAAGTAATCAGAAAGAATTGCCCGACATTATCTCACCAGCCTTTCCCGCTGCATGATTACAGGAGGCACACAACATGGAGGTGGGGGAGGCTGGAGAAATATTCTTACTGGAATAGAAGCACCACCTTCTCTCCCCTACCAACGTGGCAAGGACCCATTTGGCTCAGCTTTTCTAAGGAAAGCACTATCTTTTTGTGATGGGCTGTGTTCCAGGAAAATAAACTCAAGTCATTTAATGGAGAGTTATGACTTAATGTATATTCAGTTCATTCCTTTGATAGATATTACTACCAGCAGCTCTTAGCACTTGCCAAATTTATTATTAGTATTTGCCTAGCCCTTGTGTTGGTAAACATGTCAAAGAATAAACCTGGTAGCATATATCCGTGAAAATAATGGCTAGGGAGGGTATAAATGTGTTTGTTTTAGTTTGTGGTATAGACAGCCCAAGTGTAAGTAAAATAGTGCAACACAACAAAACTTTGCTACTTGTTTCAGCAAGAACTTGGGATGGGTGTGTGTGGTTGGCAGATGAGCTTCCTCCATACAGTGACTTGGGCACTGAGGTTCCCTCTCTCTGGTGCAGAAACTTGAAAGTCTGCATTAGGGGAGGGTAAAGGAACTGGATAAAGGCAGTTTAGAAGGATAGCAGTAGGATCAGGGGGTTGTCCTAATTCAGTACCCTGTGCTCTGGGGTGGGCTGTTGGTAACATACCCAACAATTGGGTTTAGGTGTTTGTGATAATATCCCTTGGGTTGTCAGGAAGAGAGAATTATTCTTCCAGATGATAGCTAGAGATGGATAGCAGTAAGCAACCATTAGTAAAAGCGTGTACATGTTAACTTGTCCCACCTTTAAACCCACTGGGGACAGAGATGTTCCTTCCCTGGCACATGGGAGTATTTGCAAGGCAGTTTAAAAGTTATTAAAATTCTCCCACAGAAATCAGCTATAGGGAATCCTATCCACCACATTACTTATCTTGTTTGGTGGTTCTGTTTTCCTTTTTAAAAAGAAACTTAAGGCTGAAGCCAGTTTGGCTCAGTGGATAGAGCGTGGGTCTGCAGACTGAAAGGACCTGGGTTCGATTCCGGTCAAGGGCATGAACATTGGTTGCAGGCACAACCCCAGTAGGGGGTGTGCAGGAGGTAGCTGGTCAATGTTTCTCTCTCATCGATATTTCGGGCTCTCTATCCCTCTCCCTTCCTCTCTGTAAAAAAAAATCAATAAAATAAGTTAAAAAAAAAAAGAAAGAAAGAAAAGAAACTTAAGGTTCTCCAAGGGCTCACTGGTCCATTCAATTTCTTCTTCATTTCCCTCCTCATTTGGCTCTGTGTGACAGTAGGGTTTTATGTTGGAATGATGTATCTAGCTGGCAATTCTGGGCACTTTGATTACTGTAAAGGGTAGACAGCAAGACAGGGTCTGTTCCCTACCCTAAGGGTGTGAGCTGCAAACCAGGAGATCCATCTCTCCAGGTCTTAATGAGGACCTGCGAGCAGGGCTCATATAAAAGAGGAGTATGAGCAGCTGTGAGGTCTGTTTGGTGACTGCATTCTTGTAAGGATTGTTGAAATTTGGCTAGTGGCATGAAATAAATGATGGCTTTAGCTATTTCTTCTTCAAACAGTAGGTCAGAATAAAGGAAGAGGCTCCCATATAGGGCCTCAAAGGGGCCTCATTGGAGTTGAGTAGTGGAGCTGGCTCAGGTCCTTACAGAAGCATTTCTGGTCTAAGAGAAAACACTCCATTTCTGAGGGCTTTGCCAGGGGAAGGGGAGTGTGGGGGAGGGAAGGGGTCTCTGGGCTGTACCACGGAGTTACATTCATGTGCCCTAAATGATTTTGAGAATTATCCTTATTTTAGTTGTTCAGCTTCAATTCACTTTGCCCTATTTCAGTGATTTATTTTCTTTCTTTAATATTCTTCTTCTTCTTCTTCTTCTTCTTCTTCTTCTTCTTATTATTATTATTATTATTATTATTATTTCAGAGAGGAAGGCTGCCTCCTACACGCTTCCCACTGGGAATGGCGCCCACAACCCTGGCATGTGCTCTGATCAGGACCCGAACTGTTCATAGGTTGACGCTCAACTGCTAGCCACGCCTGCCGGACTATTTCAGTGAATTTCAAGTGTGCTACAAGAATTTTTAAAAGATACAATACCCGACAATTTACTCAGGGGCACTGACCTCCTTTCCCTTAGATTGTCAAATAAAATAAATGACAACAGCCAACACAATAGTTGAGCAGTGTGAATGGGTCAAAATTATACCTATATTTTTGTCATGGGCAAAAAATATATTTGTTGATGTGCCACAGAATTTTAGTAATTAGTTTACATGTGCATGAGATGAAAAAGGTTGTACGTCGAACTATTTGCTAATGCTGTTGGCAGAGGGCTGCGCTCCCCTATTTCCAAGGAAAGAACAGCAAAACGTGAAGGTGAGTGGAACTTGTTTTGACAATGCACATAGTGCCGTTGGCGATAAGACCCGAGAAAGACAGCAAGCTATATTTCATTGCGCTTCAGAGAACGCTCACTGCAAACCACGTTCCTGCTAACCACTGCACGAGGAGAATTAAAGAGGAAAATGATGCTTGATGGTACCCTGGCAACAAGGTGAGACAGCCACCACACCGGCCTCATAGGTACACAGGGATGTTACTATTTCATTATCTCAAAATCACTGCCTCGCCTTACACTCCAAGTCTTTGTGGAAATGGATATGATGCTCTGGAGTGTCTTAGGTTTGATGAGCTAAGGCAGGAAAGCTACCAAGCGAACCCCCTGTCATGGGAACACAGCGTGACCTGGAGCCTCGTGGTGCCTGAGCTGTTCTACTCAGGTAAGGTCCACATTTTTACCACACGGGGTCTGTCCCAGAGCTGCTTATAGACAAGCCAGAAATATGGAATAAAATGTAATAGACTAAGCATGCGGCCGAATAAAGCCATGTTAGTCCTCAAAATGAGGACTTCAGCCCGGTTCGTGTGGCTCAGTGGCTGAGTGTCAACCTGTGAACCAGGAGTTCATGGTTAGATTCTCGGTCGGGCCACATGCCCAGGTTTTGGGCTCCATTTCCTGTGGGGACCGTGCAGGAGGCGGCAGATTGATGATTCTCTCTGATCACTGATGTTTCGGTCTCTCTCTCCCCTCTCCCTTCCTCTTTCTGAAATCAATGAAATCATTTTTAAAATGAGGACTTCATAGAAGCCTTGCCTTTTCTTTCCACCCGAGTCACAACCACTCTTCTCTGCCCTGCAGGACCTCACACATCTGACATAATAGACCCCCTTTGGGGTAATGACTTCCTTTTCCCCCTGCTGGATTGTAAACTGCCCCAGGGCCTCTTCGTTCGCACAGGAGTGGGGTGCAGCCTGGATTACAGTAGGCATGCAGCCATGGCTATGGAAAAAATAAGGGGAGGAAGACAGGAAGGAAAGAAGGACAGATGACTGCTTTGTGGATTCATAACAGCCGTCTTCAGATTACTCAGGCCACCACTCATCCCCAGGTAATATAATGCGAATGAATTTTAAATAAATATTTAACTTTCAGGTAACAAAATTATTCACTACATGGCGTAGAAAAGTCAGTCACCTTATTCACTAGGCCCCTACAGGGAACTGCAGAGAATCAGGGTCGCGGCGGAGTCTTTGGTTCAGGGTGCTTGGCTCTGACACGAAAACCAGCTGTGGGATTTGGGGGCAGTTACCATCCCTCTGCATGCCTCAGGTTCCTAATCTACAAAATGGGAATAATGGCTGCACCTGCCAGGGTCACTGTGATAATTAAGTTACCTCATGTATGTAAAGCATTTAGCACAGTGCCCGGCACACAGGGAAATAAGGAAATAAGTGTTACAGTTACTATTATTATCTCTGTATGAGTCATCAATGGGCAGAGTTGGGGACCATAGAAAGGATTTTATTGGCCTCTAATTTGGCAATTATTTCTAGGGTTTTTTTTTGTGTTTATTTTTTTAGATCAAGATTATTGTTTAATAGGCAGCTTCCTTATTTCATTTCCTTAACTTCCCGCTCTATATAAGTGCTCCCTCTTTAAGCATCACCATTCTGCTTCTCGCAGAGATCCCAGGGTCTCCCTGTTTGCTGAAGCTCCACTGCTCCCTTTTTCTTTTTGGGGAACTGCCTGCTCCCTTGTGCCAATGGACAACGCAGCATTTGAGATGCATGAAGGCACCATCCCAAATGGTTCCTGTCCAGGGAAGATGAGCGCCATCCCCAGAATGGTGAGTTGGGGGCTTCCATCTTGAGATGAGCTCTCCTCCAAACCTTCATGCGGAGCTCAGGAAAGAGTCTCTTAGGCCAGCTTTCCTCTGTGACCTTCCTCTTCGCGGCAGCATCTCCTGCTCCCAATGTCTCCTGATTGGCCTTCTTCCCCATCAACTCTGAACTCACACCTCCTTTCACTCTTTCATGGCCCAACTCTAGGAATCGTTGCTCTTAGTGCTAATGAGCTATTTATTGTTCCATATCATAGCCTTGTGCAATGTTAAACGGAATATGTTGATACGTGATTATGCTACACAACATATGCCATCTACGAAGGCTTAAGTGCTAAGGACATGTGTGTTAGAGTTATTAGTGATCAGAGGTAGGCCTGCTCAGAGAGAAAGGCCAGGAGCTCAGAAGGCAGTGGAACAAGACACCTTGGCATCGGTGCTCATGAGTATCATTTGAATGGTCAAGGAAACAAAGGCAAATTGGTCCAAAGATTAGGATGTGTTTTCTCTTGGCAGCTTTCAGTGATGTGCATGGACACTCACAGAAGTAATACTATTGTTTTCAGCACATACTTGTGACATGAAACCAGGAAATAGTTATGTAGAAATACATGGAAATACTGTGCTCAGACTTGGTAGATGGGTTAGTAGCTCCTGTAGGTAATACACACAGGAAGGGAGTTCCATGAAGCTGTTTAAACAAAAGAGGGAGAGAAACTGAGACCTGCAGACCAGTTCCTTACAGGAAAGCTACTTACTCCTATGCATGTACCTGTACATGTAAATGTAGATGTATGTTCTGGAATTACAGAGTTCTTGGAAATTACCCTTTATAACCTATTTAATTTTTAGGTGAAGAAACTGGTAAATGGGGCTAATTGACTGAATTGGAATGCTTTTATATACAAATTTAAGTGTCTAGTTGATTTTCCAGTAACATTATGTGTTAGTAAATGTTAGCTAGTAACATCTAGCTCCTCATATGATTATTTTTATTCTTGCTTATTTGGATGTTAGCAAGGTATATGTGTGTGTACTTATACTCATATTTGCACATGTATTATTTTATTGGGTATATTTATCCCACAAATGCATTTTTTAAAGTATATTTTTATTGATTTTAGAGAGGGAGGGAGAGATTGTAACATCAATGATGAGGGAGAATCATTGATTGGCTGCCTCCTGTATGCCTCCCACTGGAGATGGATCCTGCAATCTGGGCATGTGCCCTTGACCAGAATTGAACCCTGGACCCTTTAGTCCACAATCTGACACTCTATTCACTGAGCCAAACAAGTTAGGACACAAAAGCTTTTTTTTTTTTTTTTTTTTTTTTTTTTTTTTTTTAGTAAAAGAGAAAATAAACCAAATTGAGAAAGGAAGCAATGTTTTTTAAAATAATGCTTTATTGTTAAAAGTATTACATATGTTCCCTTTTCTCCCCTCCCCCCCCCCATTAACCTCCTCCTCCAGCCCTCCCCTGCCCGCTTCCCTAGGCCCTCACTGTCCCATAGTCTGTGTCCATGGGCCATGTATATATGCATGCAAGGTCCTTGGTTGATTACCTCCCATGAACCCACCTTCTCCCACCTTTCTTCCGAGATTCTGCACTCTGTTCTATGCTTCTATGTCTCTGGATCCACTCCGTTCACAAGTTTATTTTGTTACTCAGATTCCACATATGAATGAGACCATGTGATACTTGTCTTTCTCTGACTGACTTATTTCACTTAGCATGTTACTCTCCAGATCAGGAGGCAGTATTTTAATGCATCATGTGTAGAAAACGATGACTTTATTTTTCCTAATTTGCTAATCTCTCCTAGGAAAAGAAGAAGCAGTGGTCATTGATGAGTGTTTTCCTGGTGTGTCTCTTGGCCTGCACCGTTACCACAGCAGTGGGAGTCCTGATCCTCTCCTTGGTGTATATCAACAACCCTCAGCCCCATTCGGAACCCAAACCACAGACAACAATTCCGACACTGCAAAAAGCTGTTGACCCCAAATTCCAGTTTCTTAATCATTTACCTAAATCCAAGGTATGAATGACACACATTAGAAAAAGCATCATCTACTCTCAGAGACTATTTCAAAACAAAGTTTCCATTGTGTTTTCACTAAGCTTTGCTCTGTCTCCATGGGGAGGAATGAGGTGCATTCTATTTGGATGAAGGGAGGGGTGATATAGGGAAGAGGGAAAGTTGAGTTGATACTGGTTCCAGGCAGAACTTTTCTTTAATGGATAGATAGTTCTCTGTCTGGCTGTAGGGGAAAATTGCAGATGGACAACTAGAAAGCCCTCTTGGCAAGATAGGTATTCTTTTATTTTATTCTAGAAAGAGAAAGGAAGGGGCAGAGAGAGATAGAAACATCCATGATGAGTGAGAATCATTGATTGGCTGCCTCCTGTATGCCCCCCACTGGGGATCGAACCCCAAACCCTGGCATGTGGTCTGACTGGGAATCAAACTGTGACCTCCTGGTTCACGGGCTGATGCTTAACCACTGAGCAACACTAGCTGGGCAATAGGTGTTCTTTTTATGCCTAGCAGGAATTAGACAGAGAACACAGCCTGCACCATGATGCTCATTCCTGGCATTTTGCAGGCCAATTCTTCCTTTTCACTTTTGGAATTCCATTACTCCCCTCATCACCACAGCCTTTCCTGTTGGCACCCCTCTATCTCTGTAGGCTGTGGTGGCCTCATGTTCCTCGGGCGATGACCTTTGTGCTCCTAAGTGCTTGCTTGTGACTTTTCAGGTGTTTGAGTTCTCTGGTGGTGAAATCCAGTGGGCCCGGTACAGGAACAATATCAAAGATTATCTCAGCATTGAAGAAGAGGCCTTTGGCAGCAGCCTGAACAGCCAGAGATCACAGATGACTCTGGGGACCCTGAGAATAAAAAGGAATGGCCTCCGTGCCCCTCACTGGCACTTTAATGCAAATGAGCACGGCTATCTCGCACAGGTATAATCCGTTTGCCTCATTCTGTACTTCAGCATTTATGCCGGTGTGTTGTATCCTCAGGTTATTATTTTAGTTGTAGCAAAAGCTACTTAAGTGATAGACAACATCCAGGCTTTGGCTAAGTATTCAGTTAGATTAGTTAGTAATGCCTTGAAGGATCAACCTGTTTGTTTTAATTATTATTTTCTTAAAATTGATTTTAGAGAGAGGAAGGAGAGAGAAATAGATAGGAACATTGATGAGAGAGAAACATCAACATTGATTGGCTGCCTCCTGCACTCCCCCTGCTGGGGACTGAACCAGCAACTAAACATTTGCCCTGACTGGGAATGGAACCTGCAATCTCTTGGTGTATGGGTTGACACTCACCAATGAGCAACACCAGCCTGGCTGTTTTAATTATTCTTGGCATTACATTGAATTTCTTTCTTCAGTCTGAAATCATTTTTCAGACACTATTCTTAAAATAAGATCACTGTTCCAACCTTTGAGCCAAAGCTGAAATTGGTGGCTCTGATCTAATGATCTTACTCTAAGGAAAAAAGCAGCCCTGGATGACAAACCAGTTTGCAGATGTTCAGCCTGGAGTCCCTAAGATCAGGCCAATTGTGGTTCAGAACTTTGAGAGTTTTCTGGAAGTCAAGTAAAATAGAAAGAGTTGGAGGTGAAATGAGTGTGTTTATTTGAATTTCAAATATTTCTGTATTTCAGACACTGGGGGCCCAGTAGTGACTAAAAGCCCCCAACCCCCCAGAACTTATAGAATTTGGTCTTACCCTAATAATCTTATTAATAGGTCAGCCAATTTTATGTGACATATTTCTGTTGTTGTTAATAAAACTTCAGTTTTATTTTTGACAGTTCATTCAATTTTATAGTTTACAACAGGAAGAGAGATTAAAGTTTCATGTACCTAAGACTGAATCCTTTTTATTTCTCATAAAAGAATAGAGGCTCAGAAAGATAAAGATAAACTGTAGTTGTAATTGTTGGCTAGACTGGGACAAAGTTCATATTTTTTTGACTCCTTGTTTTTTCCACATGTATAAAATATGTAAAAGAGGATATTCTTCAAAGGATTTTTTTGGCTGAGTATTGGCAGAGTGGAAGGCAGAAAGAAAGGCAGTTAAGTGAGCCTTCCTGGATGCGGGGAGGGGGGGGAGAGGAGAGAGGGGCCCTAAAAAAACAAAGTCCAAGCCAGAGGAATTAGTCTGGAGAATGTACCACAGATCAAAGGCTTGAGATTCAGCTCAGCAGAGTTTATGATCTGAGCTTCTAAATGGGGGCTAGAAGGTGATCAAAAGGTACAGACTCCCAGTTATAAAGTAAATCAGGGGGATGTAATATACATATGGCAATTATAGTTAATAGTACTTACTATATTGTTTATTTGAAAGTTACTAAGAAAGTAGATCTTAAAAGTTCTCAAAATTGTAAGTTCTCAAGGTTATAAAAAATTATAACTTTGTGTGGTGATGGATGTTAACCAGACTTATTATGGTGATCATTTCACAGTATATACAATTATTGACTCCTTATGTTACACTCCTGAAACTAATATAATGTTATATGTCAATCTTAATGAAAACATATGAAATAACTCAACTAGAAAAAATAACGTGGGCCAGAATATTTTCTAGATCCCAGGAAATCTAGGGTCACTCACACTCATGATCAGGGTGAGGAACCAAGCAATAGGCATGAGGGAAATCCCTCCTCCACACACTCACCCAGGGAACTTGCTTTTGCTTCGGAGTAGCTTCATGAGAGCTTTGGGATGAGTGTTCCTGAGAGAAGTGGGGCAGTGGGGTGACTAGTGGACCTGCTGTGGGTGTCCCATTGGCCACCGTGCTGTCGCGGCTCTGTCTGGAGTAGTTGATGCCCCAATAGGAACAGATGCATACTGTTGCTGTTGGCTGCGTGTGGACTTGGAGAGAGCTCTTTAGTGGTTCACTTCCCCCTGCATCTTTAATACCCATAGTCTTCATGTCTGAACAGAGAGAACAAAGACTTCCTTTTCATCCACCCTGGGGATGCTCTGCTATGTCACCAAGAGTCTCCCTAAAAACAGAAACAGTGGTACCTCCTCTGCCTAGTTCACAGGATAATACTAAGGAACAGAGGAGAGAACGAGAGAAAGGACACACTTCTGTATGAGCAGAATCAAAGTATGGTGTGGATGAAAAATATAGGCTTCCCCACCCTCCCGCCCCCCCAGGCCCTGGCAACAGCTTTCTAGATAATTCGATTGAATAATTTAAACTGGGTAATTTGACTAGATAGTTAAGTTTTAGAGATCTGTTATGTAACATTGTATCTATAATTAATAATACTGTATTGGTCACTTAAACATTTGTTAAAAGGGTAGATCTTATTTTAGGTGTTCTTACCATAATTTGAAAAAAATCTGTAGACTTTAGAGCTGGATTGCTTTGCCATCGGCCAGCTGAGTAACCTTGGGAAAACTGTATATTCTCTCTGGGTTAACTTTCTCATTTGTAAAGTGATGGTAATAATAGAAATTGCTTCACAGGGTTGATGGAAGGAACTTGAGTTAAATCAGGTAAAGTACTAAGAAGATTATCTGAAGTGAACACAGTAAAAGCACTAAGTGCTAGTATTGTTAATATTACTATTATTAAAATTGTATGCAGAATTTTTCTTAACTGGAAAATACACGCACAAGTGTATTCATCTACACAAAGATGCGTGTCTGTATAATTGCATATGAACACACATGTGCCTGTGGTCTTTTTAAACTCTAAAGCATGTATTCTCAATGGGGACAATATTGCCTCCAAGGGGGCATACACTGGTTTTGGGGGGGCAAAAATACTGACTCTTTTTATGTATTAAACTATAATATATGTATAGCACTTAAGCAGTATGTGTATGTATTAATAATGTACAGATCTATAGTATATCTGTTGTATTAAAATGTGATGAGGTGGTGATTAGAAAAAGTCTTAGAATGTTACCTTAGGAAGGAGATAATGGAGGAAGGTGGAGAATTGCTCTAAGGTGGTGTTGGATGTGCTTCTCTGTGTGTGTTCCAGGGGACGGCGTGGATCGGGGTGGTTGACGATGGTCATGTCGTTACCACGTACAATGTTACAGCTGGCCAAGTGATCTTCTTTCCTAAAAACACGCTTCACTGGATAAAGAACGTGGGCAACGAAGACTGCTATTTCCTGCTCTTCTTTTCCACACACGATGAACTTCAGACGCTGGATGTTGATGATGTCTTTTTTTCTACACCCGAGGACATTGCTTCCAGGTCACTTAAGGTCTGTACTGAAAACAGCATCCCATGATGTGCTTAGGCATCACACAGGCACAAAGAGAGCATGTGTATTTGTGTGCCTAGGGCAGCCATCAACAGTGTAACAGGTGGCTAATGAACTCAAAAACACACCTGTGTTCCCACTAAGGATATAAAACTTGTTGAAATACAGTGTCTATACTTTCCTTTGTGAAGGACTTCCATAGAAAACTATGATAAATTTGGTAGAAAGGTTATGATTATAGTTAATAAAAATTGTTATAATCTTCATCTCTGAAACACCATAAGCTAATACAGGGAGAAGTTTTTTACAGATGATGTTGTGTTTATTTATCTAATGAGGAGGATTCCACCATTTTCCTGAAAAACAGCTGGTTTAGGTCTCTTCAAATATTTATGTTATCATTGGAGGGATTACTCATAACACTGGATGCAGAGGGTCAGATGTGGAGGCTGACATTGCAAATGAGTGATCAGGAGAATTGGTGATGGCCCATGACTGGCAATTGAAAGGGGTTCAATGGAAAATTTAGAAATCTATCAAGTAAAGTACTGAGATCTATTTTGCAGCAGGTCCTGGTATCATATTATAGGAAGAAAAAATGAGTTATTAGGGAGAAGCCATAGGAGTTTTTATTGATTATAAAATACCAACACATTTAAAATCAACATACATTGAAAACTTGGAGGATTTTTATAAACATCACAAATCAGACTAACTGAGGTCAGTTCTTTTAACGGGGCCACTGGAAATCACAGAGTGCCAATACCACCCTGTCCTCAGATCCCTACCCTTCTATTGCTACAATTTGTAGGATGTTTCACAGATATCTTATGTGGTTTCTTATGTGTTTCAGCCTGAAGGCGGAATCAGTTTTATTAGGTCATTCCAGAAGCAAAAAGAGGACCAGGCCGTCAACCTCCCTCCCAACCTGGCAGACCTGGTTATGAATGCCAATTATGCACAGTCTCCAGACAGCCTCGTGTGGAGATACTTTTATGACCTTAAAGGTATAGTATGTTATTTTATGAAGCCTATTTGTTTAAATACTAGAGGCTCAGTGCATGACATTGTATGAGGGTAGAGTCTCTAGGCTAGCCTGTGATCAGGGCCATCTTCTGCCTGCTCACCAGTTCTTAGTCCTGCCCTGCTGCTGCCAGCCAACTGGTTCCCCTCGCTGGCCCCCAGTCCCGTTCCACCACTACCAGCCACCCTGGTTCCCTGTTCACCATCCAGTGATCGGAGCCTGTTGGCTGAGAGGAGGGAAAGGAAGGGAGCAACAGAGAGATGGTCAGTGCACCGCCTAGAAACTGGTTGAGTGGTCGTTCCGGTTGTTATGCCTTTATGGTCCCTGGGCTTTTTTAAATTTTATTTTATTATTATTTAATATATTTTATTGATTATTTTTACAGAGAGGAAGGGAGAGGGATAGAAAGTTAGAATCATAGATGAGGGAGAAACACTGATCAGCCGCCTCCTACACACTCTCCACTGGGGATGTGCCCGCAACCAAGGTACATGTCCTTGACTGGAATCGAACTTGGGATCCTTTAGTCTGCAGGCTGACACTCTATCCACTGAGCCAAGCCAGTTTCGGCTCCTTGGGCTTTTATTATATAGGATTTATACAGGTGATGATATAGGTGTGTTTGACTGAGATTTTTTTTTTTTTTTTTTTTTTTTTTTTTTTTTTTTTTACAATGGGCCACAGTCAAGAGAAGTTTGAAAAAAATTTTTTTTTTTTTCCCAACAGAGTAGGAAATGTGAGAAAAGGCCTGGAAGCAAAATAGAACATGGCAAAAGATTTCAAAGTGTGAGGCTATGGGCTGGGGCTGTGGGAGGGGACTATAGGAGAAGAAGCTGATGAGGGAAGAGGGGCCCAATTATGTAGGCTATTATGCAAATGAGTTTATATTTTATCTTGATAGAAAAGAAGAGCAATTAGGGTTTTTTAAGTAGAAAAGTGACACAATAATGTTCATTTATTTATTTATTTACTAGAAGTCCGATGCACAAAATTTGTGCAAGGGCTTGGCCCTGGCTCCACCTGCCACTGCCATGGCCAGGGGCCTCTGCCAACTCTGCCTCAGCCCCTGATGGCTGTGGCTTTGTCCAGAAGGAAGGACATCCAGAAGATGTCCAGTCTAATTAGCATATTATGCTTTTATTATTATAGATTTGTTTATTTATTTGAGATATAACTGACATACATTATATGAGTTTCATGTCCAGAACACAATGGTTTGATATTTGTATATATTGAGAAATGTTCACAATAAGTCAGTTAATATCATCACCATCATACAGAACTCTTTTTCTTGTGGTGAGAACTTTTAAGCAACTTTCAAATATGCAATACAGTATTAGTAACTGTAGTTGCCATATTGCACATCACATCCCTATGATTTATTTATTTTATAACTGGAAGTCTGCACCTTTGACTTCCTCCACCCATTCAATCTGTTCTCTGTATCTACAAGCCTTTTTTTTAGATTTCACATTTAAATGAGATCATGTGGTATATATCTTTCTCTGTCTGATTTATTTCACTTCACATAATGCCCTTGAGCCCTATCCAGTCACAACTGGCAAGATTTTTTATTTATTTTTTATGGCTGAACAATATTCCATTGTATATCTGTACAATATCTCCTTTATCCATTCATTAGTCGATGGACATTTAGGTGGTTTTCATATCGTGGCTATTGTAAACAATGCTGCAACAAACATGGGGGTGCATCTATCTTTCTGAGTTAGTGTTAGTTTTGTGACTTGAAGTGCTGGCCAATCCTGCTAAATTGTAGAGAATGGATTGGAAGAGGCCACTGAGAGGCAGGGAGATGAGGCAGGAACTCTCAAGACCCTCAGCTAGGGATGATGTTGGCCTGTACTCTGACAGTTGTGAGAGGGAGAGAACTGTTATGAAGCAAAGAGACTTGAAAGAGGTAGGGCTGACAGGACATAGGTGATGGACTTAAAGAACAAGGTTAGCACTTAGGATGACTGTCAAGTTTCCTAGTCAGGTTCCCTGAGTTGAACTGTCTGTCTTAAAGAGGCCACTGTTTGTTAGAAATTTCAGGAGAGCTTGGAAGGTGGGATAGTATCTAAGGGTATCAGGCCAATATTTTGGGCGCACTTAGGATCTGGTGTCAGCAGTTGTCACCACATACGTTTGGTGACAATAGAAGAGCTATGTCCTTTGTAGTATGATTTTGAAGCAATTTATTATATTTTGTTTTTAAACTTCACCTGACTCAGGTTCAAAAGAGTATCGATTTCCAGGAGGAATAATACAGCTGGCACAATATTGGAAAAATGAAAGTGGACTAAGCAATAATGAAAAAATTTTCAGTAAATTCCTGAATCAGGTAATTGAGAAAAAATGTTTTAATCATTATTATGATGGATGAAATAAGACATTTAGGTTGGATTCAGCATTCTTTTGGACAAAAAGAAAAAGAAAGATGTAGTCAAACACTGGTTGATTTGATCAATGTACACTGTTAATTGAGGCCTCAATGTGGATTTGGGAACTTAATTTTTTGGCATTGATAGTTGCATTAACGAAAAGACTGGATTCCAGTGAAATGTTGCTTTTCAGTTGTTTTAAATGCTGTATTGCATAATGACCAATAGCACAGTGATGGTTTTAAATTTCCTGATTCAAATCTCAGATCTGTCACGGTGTGATCCTCGGTAAACTACTCAACCAATCTAGATTTTAATGTCATCACTCATAAAACTGGGAGACTAATACTACCAACCTTACAAAACTGTTATAAGGAACAAGTAATGTAAAGGACATAAAAAAATTGCATGTCTTAGTGAGGGCTTCACAAATATTAATTATAAGTACATTAATTGTTAAGACGCTGCGTAGAATGTTGGCTAAATAACTGGATTTCATTTTTCTTCTTCTTTTTTTTCCTCTTTAGCATCAAAATGCCCTCAGTTTGTGTACACTCAGGATTTACAACAATGGACTGAGACAGCCTCATTTCCATTTTAATGCAAATGAAATGGGATATGTAATAAGTGGTTGTGCAAAGGTAATTTTTCTGTGAACAGATTTTTTTTGTTTTTGTTTAAACTTTCCTTTTAATGCAGAAAAAAGGAGGAATTTCTTTTGGTTCAGTTGTGGTAACATCAAAGGACTGGGTGGTAAGGCCTTTCTGGGCAGTTTTTAGAGGATACCGTGCAAGCTCCGAGGAACAGCATCCAAGTCCTAGCATGCTAAGAGGCTGCGAACATTTCAGAAGTGACACAGAGTTATCCCTTGTGGTGCAGGGTCTGGAACACCTGCTTATGTTTTCAGAGTTTTGCATTCTCAGGCAATGCAAGGGTTAATGTGCTGCCCTTTGGAGAATGTGATGTGACTCTTTGCTTCTCAGCATAATGTGAGTCCGGAGGCTGGGGAGTGCGACATGATGGTAGAGTGGCCACTGGTCCCAGTTTTCCCAGGATCCTCCTGGTGTCTACTTGTCTTGGTGAAACTATGAACAGCACCCCCTTTCACTCTTCAGAGAGTCTTGATTTGGATGATCAATTATATGGTTACCATAATCAAAGCCAAAACGAGCAGCCTGTTACCACAGGGATTTGGTTCTGGACTTTCATAGGGCTTCTCGGGGAAACCTACATGGTGTACACAGGTAAAATGGCCCTTTCTAGCCTGTGCCTGTCTCAGTCTTGACAGAAAGACTCCAACCAGACCACACTTCACCTATGATGTCATTCATAGCAGAAGTTTTGTTGTATGATTTTGGAGGTGAAGGCTTTAATAAATTGGAAACAGGCACTGTAAACATTCACAAATTATATTTCAAGAACAGATTTTATTTTTGGTGTGCTTGTGTGTGTGAATCTGTGTGCACAGTTAATCTCTAATTCTTTTAGGGAAGACTGTTAAGATATTGCTCTCCTAAAAGCGGCATTTTCCCAAACAAGGAGAGAGGAAGGCAGGGGAGTAAACACTCAAATTTAAATCCTTTGCCTAATTAGGTAATTACCTAAGGGTAATTTATAACCCTTAATTAGAACGTAGTGATTGAGGCTCTTTTTTGCATGTTGTTCTGCAGTATTGAACTTGCTAATGGCATTTTGAGAAACATTTTCTCAAATAGAGTATCTTTTGATTTTTGTGGGACTACCTCTTGAGAATAGGAGATTTCATGTGAAGGAATTTGTCACTTAGTCTTTCTAGTAAGTCTTTTTAAAATCACAGGTTTTTATTCATCTGATCTTCACTATTAATGCTTATCCTTAATGAATATTTGATTTTATTTGCTTCACTTCATGATATTGTTTTCTTCCTTAGGTGGGCATTATTAATACTAAGGGTACCACGGAGTTTGATATTCACGTTGGCGATGTGATATTTTTCCCCATTGGAACCCAGCATTACATCAAGAGTGCCTGTGACGAGGATTTGCTTTTCATTCTTGCCTTCAGCACCAGAGACCAGGTGAGAATAAACTCACCCAAGAGAGATGACTAAGTGCCGGGGATGCGCAGAACACTCTGCTAAGCAATATATCTGGACAATAGGGTGCTGGGGGGTCTTTCCCAGCATCTAGAAGGATTTAGGAATCTGGAGAAGGTGCTGCGTATAAATTATTAAAGAGACTAGAGATATAAATTTGTAATCCATGGGGGAGTCAGAGGAAGTTTAGCTGTAGTAGCTAAATTCTTTTTGTCTCTGGACACAGGGCTCTTTTTATTCCCACATTTTTCCCTTTAGCAAAGCAGATATACATATCAATGGTAAATTTGGTATACAGTAGTCATTGTCAGGTTGGAGGAAATGGCTTCGGCTGTTCAGCTGTTTGGCCAGCAGGAGGCAATAACAGGTAGATTGAAATGCCCTCAGCTGTCAGGTAACAGACAATCTTCAGGTTTAGGGAAATGCTTTTGGCCATTATAGCAGGCAATAACATGTATTCAGCCCTGCTGAATATAGAAGCCCATCAACCTTTTGAGGATTTCTTGCACTTATTATGACATGCTGGAATTAGCCTCCAGGAATAGGGGGCCCTCAGTCAATGTGTTGAATGAACGCAGAAATAAGTAAATTGGCAGAACCAATGTGAAAAGAGGAGCATCAAGTAATCTTCTTATTTAGTTATAAAGGGATTCAATATATCCCCTTCCCTCTTAATTCTCCAAGTTCTGAACCAAGAAAAAAAGACCAAAGAGTCATATATAGAGTTCCATGATGTAATTTTTATTTCTAATAAAGCAGACATTAGAGAATGTGACTAATATCTTGGGAAGGTGGGTTTCTAATATTGATCTCCAGAACTGGGTTGGCTTCTCCAAGTTGAGGCAGGCCCTGTACGCCTGATGGCATAAAGGAAAAAGGACATGCTCTTTGAAGCTTGGCAGCCCAAACATAAAGGGGTAAGCTAAACTGAGCATGCCCAATTAATTCGTCCAGTCTCTGGCTGTGGAGCAGGAGGACCACTTACTTGGTGGACAGATTCACCTCCCTCCTGTGCCTCAGGGCATGGTGCTCTGAGAAGCTCTGTCACTAATCCCTTCGGACAGGAGGACAGATAGTCCTATTCCCTCGCTGAAGGGAACTCTCTCCGGAGGACGGAGGCCCCTCTAGAGAAAGCTTCAGTTGCCCCAGTAGCCACCAGTCAGACGTTCCTGGTTCTCAGAGTTGAGAGGTGAGCTCCCCGTGGCAAGGGAAGACCAGGCAGACAAGGTGCACATTGACAGGAATTTCTGGCTGTGGAGTCACAGCCTGGTACCCGCTGTCCTGTAAGTGTCCAGAGGCTGTGAGGTATCTGTGGGAACCCGAGTAGTACCGTGCTGATGCTTCCTTTGTTTTCCATTATCAGCTACAAACCCTTGACATGGACGACTACTTCCAGGCCACGGCAGACCACATCCTGGCCCAGCTTTTCTTCAAGAAACAAAGTGAGTTTAAGAAGATCCCCAGATTCAACGAGGACCAGGCAATCAACCTGCCTTAGGCCTGCTGATGAGTTCATGTCTGTTCTTCATTTGTTACCATTATTTTTAAAGAAGGTCTTGCCTAACGAACCTGGAGCTCTTCACAGAGGGGGAGGGAGAAGCGGGTGCAAAGCAGCCCTGTGGGCTCACTTAGCTGACGGTGATTACAGGCAGTTCATGCATAGTCTGTACAGATTAATAGGTCCATAAAGGACACCCCAATAGACTAAATTATATTTTTGTATGGATTTTAGTATATGTGTATATATTTGTTTCTTTTCTTTTTTTTTTACTTCAAATTTTTTACTCCAAATGAAAAGCCATTCTTTAAATTCACATCAGTAAATCTTGGTACCATGAATTTATTTTTAAAAAATTTTTATTCATCACTCATGGACAAGGACAACAGTGTGATGAAGGGGGCGGGGGAGGGAGAGTTGGGAGTAGAAGGTGGTGGAGGTGAAAGAGGGCATAGAGCGGATAAATGATGATGGAGAAAAACAAAAAAACTTTTCTGTAAAAAATACCTTTCTCTTCTCACCCGAAAAAGAGACTTGACCACCACCCAGGAGGAGGAACATGCTTGGGAAGGTGCAGGGAAAAGCACAAGGCAATGTGTGTATGGAAGGAGGATGTAAGATAGAGGGAAATAGTCATAATAGGTAAACGGGTAGACAGATTTTTATGTACAAACTAGAGGCCCGGTGCATGAAATTCATGCAAGAGTAGGCCTTCCTTCTCCTGGCTGCTGGCACTGGCTTCCCTCTGGCAACTGGGACCCGGGTTTCCCTCTGGCTCCAAGACCTGGGCTTCCCTTGCAGCCCCAGCTTCATCCAGAAGGATGCCTGGAAGGATGTCTGGTCTAATCAGCATATTATGCTTTTATTATTATAGATTTTGTTTTGAGAATTCCTTTATATATTATAAACCATTTTATATTCTATTTTCTTGTATCAGGAAGCATTGTATCAGGTTACTGTGTGATCATTTAATAAAGATTTTATGTATCTTTATGTATATATTTTTTGAAATTGTAATTTTAAATGAAATCTGTTCTTACAGTTTTATGCATGTGAAGCATTATTGGATTTCTTCTATGCACCCTTGAAATATGATTAGGAATCCAATTCGCTGTGCACTTTTAAAAAAATCTTAAAAATAAAAATCGAATGAAAACAATTTAATTGGAATATTGTTGGTATTTTATGGGAAGATATATTCTTAACTTTCACATGGTTGTTCTAATTTCAGTCCTTTTTCTCATTTTGGAATGCCGATTTCTGTTTTTGATACTATTTTTTTTCCCTTTAGGGTAACCCATTAATACTCACGTGTTTTTAGGCTTTTTGGTATATCTACTTCATTTATTACCAAATCAATAGATTGAAGAGTGAATTGCCAATCAGACTGATGATTTATTGCTTCTCATTCAGGCAAAACCCAGACATTTGACTAAAAATCTCTTTTAGAACTGAACCAACTGAACCCACCTTCACAATTTTTAAAAAACTTTTTTATTTATTTTTGGTTAATCCTCACCCAAGGATATTTTTCCATTGATCTTTTAGAGAGAGAGGAAGGGAGGGGGAAGATAGAGAGAAACATTGATGTGAGAGAAACACATTGATTGGTTGCCTCCTGAAAGCACCCAACCTCGGCCCAGGCTGGGGAGGAGCCTGCAACCACACTATGTGCCCTTGACCCAAATTGAACTGGACCCTTTGTCCACAGGCCAACACTCTATCCACAAAGTCAAACAGGCTAGGGCCTTCACCATTTTATACACACATTTGGTTCATTTGAAACATTTTATGAATTGAACATAAAATGATTTTTAAAATGTTTAAAGAACTATCATCTTTCAATAATAGCTTTGAATAGTTGAATGGAATAAGTCAGTTGAAACAGAGGAACCCCAGGGTAGGAAAACAATGCCTGAATACTCCTTATTGCTTCCAAGTAGTGGAAGATAGTTATGAAAAGCTTCTTTCTTCACACTCTCTCATACTTTCCTGAGAAGGGTACTTTTTATCATCCAACTGATCTGGAAAAGAAATATAGTTACTGTTACTTTAAAACTTGCTTCCCAATGACCCTAATTTCTCAGTGCTTGAAAATGATTCAGCATTATAATACTACTAGCGTCCTGATGCACAAAATTCTTACAAGGGGCTTGGCCCTCGCAGCCCTGGCTTCATCCGAAAGGTGATTTGGATGGTTGTCTGGATGGTTGTTCTGCTGTTTGGATTAATTAGCATATTAGCTCTTTATTATATAGGATTGCTTTAAAAAAATAAAGAAAGGGGGGGAGCTACACAAATTTGTGCTTTTGAATTATACATAAATTGTACACAGAAACATTGATCAGTTGCCTCCCTTACATGCCCCAACCAGGGGGGAACCTGCAACCTGTGTCCTGACTGAGAATGGAACCTGTGTCTTTTTGGTGTGTGGGACGACACTCCAACCAACAGCCACACTGGTTTTTTAAGTGTACAGTTCAGTGGCATTAGCTACATTCATATTGTGTAGTCATTGCCATCATCCATCTCTAGAACTTTTTCATCATCCCAAACTAAGACTCTGTACCCATTGATCACTCACTAACTGCCCATTCCGCTCTGCCCCCAGCTCCTGGTAACCTCTAGTCTACTTTCTGCCTCTATAAATTTGTTTGTTCTAGGTACCTCATATAAGTGAAATCATATTTAATAAAAGGGCAATATGCAGATTGACCATCACGCCAACACACATGATGGCTGCCCCCATGTGGTCAAAGATCCTGCCCCTATGTGGACACAAGACGGCCAGCAGGGGAGGGCAGTTGTGGGCGATAAGCTAAGCAGGGGAGGGTAGTTGGGAGGCACCAGGCCTGCAAGGGAGGGCAGTTAGGGATGACCAGGCTGGCAGAGAAGGGAAGTTGGGGGCAAACAGGCTGGCAGGGGAGCAGCTAGACATCAATCAGGCTGGCATGGGAGTGGTTAGGGGGTGATCAGGCTGGCAGGCAGAAGCAGTTAGGGGCAATCAGGAAGGCAGGCAGGTGAGCAGTTGGGTGCCAGGAGTCCTGAATTGTGAGAGGGATGTCCAACTGCCGGTTTAGGCCCTATCTCACTGGTTCCAGATTGGAGAGAGTGTAGGCTGGGCTGAGGGACACCGCGCCCCCTCCCTCCCATGCACGAATTTCATGAACTGGGCCTCTAGTCCTATATACTAAAAGCCTAATATGCTAAGTGTCCAGTCATCTAGTCGGCCAATCAACCATTCAAAGTTTAATATGCTAATAATATACTAAGGCCACTCAACTGCTCTCTATGATGTGTACTGACTACCAGGAGCAGATACACATACTTTGATGGTAGGTTAGCTTGCTACTAGGGACCAGTGGATTGGGACTGAACAAGACTGGACACTCCTTGGAGCCCTCCTGCAACCCTCCCAGGCCCCAGTCATACACCAGTGGGGTCCCACTGCCTGGCCTGAATGCTCTTACAATCCTGGACCCCTCAGGGGATGTCAGAGAGTCAGTTTCAGCCCAATGGTGGAATGATTGGTTGCTGAGACTCACCAGGGGACAGATGCTCAACACAGAAGCTGCCCCCACGCTGGTCATTGCACTCCCACAGGGGGAATGCCACTCTCCTGCCTGCACAGTAGTGTTAAGGATGTCCAACTAAGCCGTCAGTTGGACATCCCCCAATGGCTCCCGGACTGAGAGGTGCATGCCAGGCTGAGAGACTCCCCCTTCTCCCCCCCAGTGCATGGATTTGATGCACCAGGCCTCTAGTTATATAATATTACCCATTGTGTTTATGGGTTTATTGCTCATTAAAAAAAACAAAAACACTAAGCCTTTACTATGTGCTTAGTATTGTGCTAGGACGTGGTCAGCAAGCTGTGGCTCTGTTGACTAGTGAGTTTGCCGACCACTGACCTAGACTCTCAATTCCAATAATTACAGGCTGTTGTTGTTCCTTTATGATTAAGCCCAGTGGTCGGCAAACTCATTAGTCAACAGAGCAGTAAACGATGGCTGGAGAGCTGCGTGTGGCTTGTGAGCCACAGTTTGCCAACCACTGTGCTAGGATATACAAAAAAGCATAAGCTGTGTCCTCAGAGAAGTTTTAATGTAAATGATTCTTATTCAGTTCTGAATTTCTCTTCCCTCCCCACCCCTTTCCAGGATGAATTCAGCCCTTACTGTTAGTATTCAAAAGAATGTTGTTGTTTATTTCATTTAGATTATGTTAGGGAGTCATAGTAACAAATAACAACAACAGAAAAAATGTAAAGAGGTCAGTCTACATTATTTTCTCATATTTCCTGAGAAGGCAACACACAAGCCTTTTGGTGATTTTCATCCAGTGTCTTAACAGTCCTTGGTCCTCAAATGTTCCATAACTCTAGTAAAATTTCTTTTTACCTACTTTTGTCTGGGGTGGGACTTCATTCTAGCCTCTGAAGTTTAAACATCCAGATAAGAGTCTTTGAATTCTGGTGTTTGTTTTTCTTAAATATTAACAAGAAACCCCAAATGGCCTCAACAGGTGTCCTTCACATCTCTTATCTCGGCCCATTGATTCAAAACTTAATTTTCCTGGCAACGGATGCATCACTTTACTATTTTATTCACATTCTTCCTTGTTGAAAGGAAGTATGCTTCATTGTGCAGGTTCAGTGGGACCTGACTAATTCGTATTACCTCCCCTGCTACTCTCCTGGTCAGAGCCACATTTTTCTCCTGTCTTGCTTCAGGAGCTGATAAACTTTGCCTTCTTTCTGCCTTGGCAGCCCACTTTCAGGCTATTCTTAAAGAAGCCAGAGGGATGCTTTTTATAAATCATATCAGATGATTGGAATCAGTATAAATAATTCTTCAAAACACTCCAGTGGCTCCTCCCATTTTGCTCAGAGAAGTAATAAGATCTGCTCTATCAATCTCCCCCAATAACTCACCCCCTCTTGCCACACCCAAGCCTCACCCTCCCAAGTCTCCCCTATGCCCATGCACAACCTTCCTCTTTCATGGTCACCCTCTCCATGCTTCAGTGCCATAACATCTCTTGGCCTCATCTTTAATATCTTGCCTCTAGACACTCCACTGCCGCCACGCAAGCCTCCGCCTGAGCCTGGGACTCCTTTGGCATGCTTCTGCATCAGGACATCTGACGGGTGGTTCTTCCGCCTGGACCACTTCAACCAGATTTCTGACTCCCTCCCACCTTTGCTCAAAAGTCATTTTCTCAATAATCACCTGTCACACACATGTCCCTCCCACCCACATGTACCTCCACCCCGCAGGTCCCTCCTCACCCATTCTTGCATGAGGATATGCGTAGGAATATTTCTAGATACCCACTGGCTGGGGGAACTGCTTGGAACCTGTGTGAGACTTACTGCAGGGAGTGTTCTCGCTGCTGGAATCGCTGTTGCTCTGGCGTTTGCCCTGGCTGGAGGCAGAGAAGCTGCGGGGAGGCCGCAGGGCCCAGAGGAGTTTCTTTAAAGGACCCTGCTGCCAGCAGGATCTGGTCAGAGCCCTGGCAACCTTCTTAGAAAGTTCGGGGAAGCAGAAACCCCTGAGCCGGAGGAGGCTGTGGAGCTGGTGGGGCCTAAAGAACTTGTTCCTACACTTGGTTCTGCACCCGGGCTGTATCTGCAGCACTGAACCTGTCCCTCTGGGGGTGATGGGTCCACACCCGGAATCACGGGAATGTCTGAGAAAGCGAGGCATCCCAGTAGCTTCAGAGAGGCCCCAAGAATATGGCCCACAGGGATTTCGAGCCCTGGTGAACTGCAGGACAGGTAGTAGCTGCCA